GGGGTTCCCCGAGCAGACAGAGGCTCCGGGATTGCGGGGCACTCGCTGGGGAGACAGATCAAAGCCCCCACGGTGCCCGCCCTTGTCCTGGGAAGGGGTCCTCCAAATGGGGCCCGTGGGGTCCTGACCCTCCACCTCCAGACCCCCAGCCGCGCAGCGGGCAGGGGGCCCAGGTGAGCCAGCCCTTCCTTGGGTTCTGTGACTTGGGCCCTCTCCTCCCGCCACCCCAGCCCCGGGGCCACCACGCCCGCCAGGCAGCATCCCCGGGTGGGCAGAGCTCTAGTCCCAGTCGGTCCTGAGATCTGACTGCGGCTTAGTGTCTAATGGCCTGGGCCCCCCTGGGCCTCAGTATATTCACCTGTGAAAGGGGAGTCGGACTGGATGGGCCCTGAGGTCATCTGTTGTTTTTTGAGGTGGGGCAGTGGACACGTGGGGCTCCGGTGGGAAGATAGGAGGGCGTGGCCAAGAGGAAGCGGGGACGGGTCTCCAGTGTTGTGACACTGAAAGGCCTGTGACCGCCTCCTGTGGTCTCTAGACCTCAAGGGCACTGCACAGTAGAAAGTGGGGGGGGGATAGGAAGATGCTCTGGGGAGCGTGTGTAGTTAAGCCTACAGAGCCCGCCACTAACTAGCTGTGCACCTTGGACAAACCACTTAACCTCTCTGTGCCTGGCTTTCTTCCGCTGCCAACTGGTGGTGGTTGTTCCTGGTAGGGCACATAGTAGGTGCTCAGTGAAACAGATGGGAGCGGCCAGGCAGGATTGACAGCCCAGAATGGCTCCTCCATGGCTGGCGCACCCCCCACCCCCATTCCACGAGGCTCCCTCTGCTCCTTCCCTCCTGAGCACCCCGCATTGGGCCTCGGAGGCTGAGACAGGAGCTGGCTTCCCGTCAGGGGCCCTCCGAGGTTCTCACGGGGTGGACAGTGTCCAGGCTCCCAGAGGAAGCACCCTGGGGGCTGGCCCAGGCCCAGCCTCCTACAGCTGTGGGTGGAGGCCTCAGAAGCCTGGAGAAGGTCAGAGGCCAGAGGGGCCAGAGTGTACCCTGTGCTGGGGCCCCAGGCTCGTCCTTTTGATTTTTTTAATATGTTTTTATTGATTTCAGGGCGAGAAAGGGAGAGGGAGAGAGAGAGAGAAAGATCAATGATGAGAGTCATTGATCGGCTGCCTCCTGCTCGCCCCCTGCTGGGGGTCAAGGAGCCTGCAACCTGGGCCTGTGCCCTGAACGGGAATCGAACCGATGACCTCCTGGTTCCTAGGTCGATGCTCAACCCCTGAGCCACGCCAGCCAGGCCCAGTCTAGTCTTTGCCTCCCCAACTCGCTGCTCCTTCAGAGTAGACAGATGGGCCTCAAGTTGTCCCCGTGCTCCCAGCTCACCTAACCCTGCAGCTGAGAGGCTGGGAGGCCGGGCGGGGGCTGAGTGAGCGTGATTAGCTCACCCAGGGCCGCAGTAGGTCCGTGAGAGAGCCTGTGTCTCACCATCATTTGCCTGATTGCTGGGCCTCCCCCTGTCGCCCCTTCCAGGCTCCTGGCATTTTTCGGAAGGCAACCTGCCCCCCTACCTGAGATGAACTGCCTTTTCCCTTCCCTTGATGTCTTCTGCAGGTGTGGCTCTGCCTTAAACACTCTCTCACATGACCATTGTTGACCTTAATATATATATATATATT